TCGCAACAACAACTCTCTCTTCGCTCTCATCGTTTATCGCCGCTCCAACATAAACGTACCCTTAGCCAATCACCAAAAGATTCTGCAATTTTCTGTCCTGGAAATTTCCTATCGGTCTGTCTCTCTTTCAAAACTGTTGATACAAGGCACGAACGTGCAGCTGCTCACCGAAATAGACATTGATGGACCTATTTATTTATTTATTTTTAGTAATAATCATTTGTAGGTCACAACCAGGGACTTTCCACAGGATTGCGCTTGTTCTGGCGGGTAGGCAGCGGAGTACGTTGGGGAGGGATGACCGTGGGTCATACTACAATTTGTTTATCGATTTCTGTAACAATTATTTTACGATTTAATTACATGTGTCAACTTTACATGTTTTCATTTACTCCTGAGTGATGGTGGCATTCCCCAATATAATTATCTTTCAGACATACGAGCCTCACAGCTCCCTCTTCGAGTAATCCGTTCTGGTAAGAAAATAAAGAGTTAGAGAAGAATGTAATGATATGACAACAGCCCATGCCCGATAAATCACAGTCTGCTGCTGCATATCCCCGCTAAATGGTCTGGGAAAAATTACAACTAAATGGAAAATAAATTTGATAGACAGCGAACAACCATTTACTTTAAACACCTCTAGAACGTCCCGCTACCAATAAGTAGTTTGAGAAATTAACTAAACAAATTAGTCAAATTATATGTAATCGAACCAGCAAGCTTTCCTTTGGAGTGCTGCAGTCCAATAGTGTGGATACCGAGGGGGTGAATCTGGAATTAGGTTATGCTGGAAATGCACCGAGTTAAATAAAAATGTCAAAAGATCAGTTCCCTATGCAAAACACAGACGTAACACTAGCAAAACTAAAATATGCGCGAGCCTTGTCCAAATTATATGCCAAAGCAGGATTTCATAAAACAGAATTAGAAAAAGAGAATTATTTTACATTTATTACACCACTTGGAGGATTTCAGTTTAAAGATTGCCTTTTGGAATAAACATTACTCCGGAATTTTTCTCACATAATTTTTGTAATCTGCTTGCAGGAATTCCAGGGGTAAAAATCCACATATACGACGTGTTGATATACGCGGAGACAGCACACTTGCTCGACGGCTACAGGTAAATCTGCGTTCGAGAGCGCGGGCGTAGAACAGCTCGCTCGGAGTAGACAACGCAGGCGTTGCCAGTGAATGCAGCAACGTAATAAACGCGTCTATTGATTCGTCAGCTTCTTGAATTCTTGAGTTGAACTTGTACATCTCAAAAATGTTTCCTCAGGAACAACGCCTTGCGCACGATCTCATAGGTAGCTCCTCTCTTAATTGGTAACAAGTGAAATCTATCTTTTCCGCGTCGGTCTTCGTTCCTAGACCGGAAATGGACAACAACTTTTCGAATCTTCTTAACCATCAGTCTTTCACCACCAGTAAGTTATTATCTTTTCGTGCTTCGTGCTCATGACATTGGTAATTAAGTTATTAAATTTTACTGTCAGTTTACGATTAATTAGAAAAATCCAAATTTCATCGACCTCGAAAATGCTATGCCCCATCTCTCTTGCGCCAACTATAACCACGTTCAAACTCACTTTACTCGTGTTAACGTGCCACTATAGCAGCAGTAAACGATATAAAACCGTGCCAGACTGGTTGTTTTACGTAGTCGTTTCCGTCCGGAGCGCCATATTCTGATTTTTTCCAGATCTCTCTTTTTTTTAAATTTGTTGCGTCAATTTAGACGCAACGCGACTCCAAATTCCATGGGGGCGTTGAGCGCTTCGCGCTTTTTTAAAATTATCCGATATTAATTGCTGCGCGGGAGTAAATCTCCATTAATTACATAGTCCGTCACGTCACATCTCGTCTCAATCAGTTATCAAGAGGACCGGCAGATAACATCTCCGCGTACGTACGCGCTCCTGCGTCACTATCCAGCGGCCTGAAAATCGGGATATGTCGGGCGCCAGGTTCAGTTCCTGTAACGAATGGATGGAAGTGAAGGGAGGTCATAAATCAGTCCATTGAATCGTTTCTAACAAAATTAGATTTATTCCTGGCAACATGAGTTGCCAGGGAAGTTACAGGTCACAAGAGAGCGACACAGATTACTTGCTAACCTTACGTTACGAGCTCATAATCTTAACAGTAAAAGAAAAAAATTCTTAACTCTAACATTAATGTCTTATTGCTAACAATTCATCACAATTCATGCCCTGTTTTAGTTCCTATAAAGAAGGTGATGCAGCAGAGCGCGCCACCGTAATGGTCTCCGCCACGTTATATGGGAGTTATAGGGCCCTGGTCGGCTCCGCCCGCAGCAGCCAGCTGGTCATACGAACTGACTTTGCCAGACATGTATGTTCTGTGTTTTGTAATGTTTTAATTAAATTTAAAACTATCTTATGTCATTCGCAAGTTATCTCGTAAGAATTGACGATTTGAATTGTAAATACATTTTTATTAGAAATGTCGGAAGGAAATACTCTTCAAGCTATGTTGGATAATATGAATTCTGCTATGTCGCAGTTGGAAGGTAAGAAATAAACCGACAGGTTTTGTATGCATCAAATTTTCGTTGTAAAGTGCCAGATGCTTACATCATATTTCACAAATATATCACAAATTCATAACTTTTTTTAGGGGGTGAATGTGCAACGAAACCTTATTTTTGCGGCCTTGATGAATTTTGGAGAACACTAAGTAAATTGTTGTTCAGAATAATTTTGTCCCTAATTAATTAATTTGTTTACATGTTTATTAAATACTAATTTCATACTGAATTTGTTTTAGATATTGCAGCCAGTTCTTTGTCAACGGAAGTGACAAAAGTATGCATACTTTACTCAGAGCCTCCTGCTCCAAGTGTACAGCAAGTAAATGATCTCTTACGAAAAATAGAAACACTGTACATTAACATGCTGAAGAATTTTTATAATCTTCCAAAAGAGCAAGGTCAAGTTATGAGGAAAAAAACACAAATTGCTCTTTTAAAAATTGTGGAATTGTTGAAAGCTGTCTTCAGTTCTTTGAAAACCAAAGGAGCAAAAGGGTAAGATAATTTCCTTGGTGAATGAATTAAAGTTCACATGGGCATAGCCACAAGGGCTAGAACCTACAGCATTGCATTTTTATGAAATAAAAAAGCAATGTGTTCAAAACATTGGCTATAAGAAAAGAATAAATTTGTAGAAAGCATTAACATAGAAAAGCATTTTATAGATTAGAAAATTAAAAAAAAAAATTAACTTTGAGACTAATAATGTGATATTTATGCAACAATCAACAATGCAATACAAAGGTTAATACAAAAATGATTATTGCTTGTTGATTTATTACTTTCAAGTCTAGTGTCATTGACAATAAAACCCCACAGGTCATTCCTGGCTGCGCCACTTTAGCTTTAGATTAAAGAAAATTATTTCTGTGTAGTCACATTGCAACTAGACAAGAAAGAATGAGTACTGGGATAGATATATGGCAGACCACATCCCCTTTCGTTTCATTGGTCTCTTTCTCCATCTTCTGCCTTCCATTTGGTAGGTGCGAATGGAAGCTTTATTTCATAATTCTTTTCAAAAAGTATGCTATCCTTAAATGGGTCTTGCTGCTACTCAGGTGTACTTCTGTGTGTCTTCGGTATCTAAATCAGTTTATTTATTAACATCTGACAACATTTCTCCTAAAATATTAAGAACGTGATAAAGACACACCAATCTTGTACATCAACTGCATGTCAATTGAAAATAACACAATGTATTTCTAGACAATTTTGTAACTTACTAAAATCGCAGTTCTCAATCATAAACACAAAAATAATTATTATCACAAAATCATTCATTTATATTAATGCTTTAAGTTAATGGTGGTGCAATTATATACCCTTTTCAATTGTGTTAATTATTTCATTGATTATTATTGAATGGTATTACTTAGATTAGTTGAACACAGATGGCTAATTCCACTCTAATTTAAATAGTCCAAATTGTAAATTCAACGATGTTTTTTTTCTCAGTGAATAACATATCGAAATATCAAAATATTTATTATGATCACAAATGTTTATACATAACTGTAGGATACGTACTTCAAAACCTACTGTAATAAATTCTTTTAATTAAAATGCAATCTTCTGTTTTTGGCAAGATTGAAAGTATTTATGAATTTATTTATAGAGACGAAGGTGACATGTGAGCCCCCACTCTTATTTCAAATAATAAAAATGAATTAAATGCTTTTTTAAAAAACAAATATAATAACTTCATCAACTTTTGTGTTTTCATCTTTAACCTTTGTGTTGTATAAAAAATGTGAACTTTATTAACTGGTCAGAAAGTGGGCAAAAAATCAATATTTCAAAAGAAGTCATGTTTGAATTATTGATTTGGTGCAACTGAATGGTAAAGACTTTCTTATTAGTGTAATATTTTCTTTGTTCTGGGCTATGTATTCGGACTTGCCACAAATTCTTGCCAGCTGCCATTTATTGCTGCACAAAGTATATTTTTCTGAACGTTTCTCAGTTTTTCGGTTTCTTAATAGTAGAATTGAAATATTACATTAAGAATATTCAAAAAGAGTAACACCTGGTCATAAATTGCAATTTTCATTGAAAACTTTGGAGCCCTTTGTAAGAAAATTGCATTGAAGTGTTACTGTAAATGTGAAATTTGAAACTTTCACAGAAAATTTGTTTTCGAAAAACATCATTGGAAGTCATTTAAAGCATCTTAACTCGGAAATGCAACAGTGTTTACAAATTGCAGGAAATGTGCTTATTAACAACGTGAGACATATTTAAAAAAATTACAATGTGTAATTTTTGAAAAAACAGAAGAATGGCTGAAAATCTACTTTGTCATATTAAATGGTGCTTTTAGCAGTAACCATACAAAAAGTTTGGAGCTTTTTGAAAACTCAAAAGATTTTTGTGAAAATGTTTTAAATTTCGTTTATTTAGTAGCACTTCAACACCATTTTCTTAAAATGATTCCAAAATTTTTCAGCAAATTTCATTACAATAAGGTTTTCGGTTCTACTGTTAGAAAATTTTTTTAAAAATGTACCTTGGGAGGTGATAAATGGTAGCTGGCAAGAGGGACAAGAATGTAAGTTTCTGCAGATCAAAAAATTAGAAAACTAACTAGTATGAGAAAATTGTGCCATTCTCTAGCACCACAAGTTATTTTCTTGTATACGCACGTGTATAGGAGAAATATATGTAGTATAGATAATGTTGTGTAATGCTGGCAAGAGAATGGCTGGCAACTGAAAAGCTAGCCCCGACCAAAGGAATTAGGAAACTAGTACAAGAAAGTCCAGTTCCTTTTTGTTTTGGGCCTAGAACCGTACATGGCATCTTATACAAAAATAATGCGAACAAGTTGTAGTGTATGTAATATGAACCCGTTAAAGTTTGGGGCTTATATCTGCACCATAGTTCAGGGGTTATTTTACCACCATCGCCATATTAAAATTCTGCAAACTAAAACTGGTCTTAGATGCATTCGAAATTACAGATTGTAGGCATAATAACAATTTTAATAACTTATTGTTCATATCATTATTGAAGTATTTTAATTGGTCTAAGAAAACTCAAACTATACTTAAAAGCCGAAGACCTACCTTCCAAAGCTTTACAAATGAGAAACGCAAACACCCCTGTTTCACGTCAGCTCTCATTTACAACTGAACCATAGAGCTATGATGGCAAAAGAAGTTATTAAACTAGTTGGTAAAATTGTTCCTGCTAGAATGTTTGCGATGAATGAAAAGAAACCAAGGGGGTTCATATTAAATAAATAGCTCATATGACCACCTTTACCTTTATCTATATCTATTATAAACAGAAAATTTTTCTTTTTTCGAGTTGAAATTTGAGTTTTATGACTTATGATTTTAGGCATGAAACTGTTTATATTTCTAAGTAAATAATGTTCATAAGCAAAGTATAATTGAAAGAGGATTTATTAATAAGGGATATTCACTACAACACAACATTATTTTGCTTGTTTTATAATAATGAACTAAAGTTCAACAATTTATTAATGTATTTTATTTGCTCATCTTAATAAAATTATTGTTTCCTTAATTATTATAATATTTCTTCTCAAAATACAAAACCAGTATATCTTTGATATATAAATCTGAAGATGCATGTAATGAAATGTCTAAATATAGTTGCATTTAATTTGTCCCAAAAGCCCCCCCCC